CGGTTATCGGAGTACCCCCTCCGTCAGTCGGCAGTCCAGGGCACTGTGTGTCTGAGTGGATCGCAACGCGATTTTGCGAACCCCACTCCACCACAGGACCAAGCCTTGTTTGCGTCTGGGAGCACGTTGTTTTGGCATTGGGACACGTACCCCGTCCCATTTAAGCTCCTTGCTTGAGAAAAGCAAGTCGATTCCCTGGTCAGCGAAGAAATCCTTCCCCAGGATGACTGCATACAGGAGCCGAGGTGCAACGCGAAACTTCTGTGTGCACACTCGGTTCGTCGAGAAAATCGGTAAAGATAGCTGCGTCGTTGCTGTATGCGTTGTTTTTTCCGACTGATGTGTCTGCTTGCTTAAACCGTGCTTCCTCTTTATGTAAGGCCAACTTCTCACTTACTTGATCCACAACACGCTGATCAACGGCAGAACGGGAGCACCCAGTGTCAAGCAACGCTGTGAATGCCGTTGTCCCGATGCGCACCTCCATTTCCATCACGGGTACGTCGCCATTGCGCTTGTCAATAGCTCGTGTCGTTCCCACCAGTGGTGCTAATGCCGGCGTCTTGGAGCTACCAGTTTCAGCAGTGAAGGTCATCGCGTTGTTTTCATCGACTTCATAGAAGCGCAGCGCGTTAAGTTCTTCCTCATGTTGTTTCTTCATGGCCTCCATCATTACTGACATCTGACTGATCTGTTCTTGCATAACCGCAAACCAGTCTTGCCCCTGGCGAGGCTGTTTCTTATGCTGTTCGTTCCGCGAGCGATACGCCGGAGAAGACGGATCGCGAAAGCACTGCTGCTGAGAATGATTGTCACGCTTGCAAAAGGTACAGTGCTTCTTCTTGTGCTGCATTTGTTGCTGACCACGTGTTTGCTCTCGTCGAGAACTCTGATTGTTTCCATGATGCGGTTTGGCTCTGGTTCCTTTCGATCTTGACGTGTTATCCTTGTCATTGTGTAGACGACGTCTGTTTCGTAGGGCTTCACACTCTTTTTCGCTGCGTTCAATGAGTTCGAACTGGAGTTCTAAACTGTTGAAGTCCCAAGAGCGAGAAAGTCGGGTCACTTCAATCTGCCAGTTGATCGGCAAACCATTTTTGTACATCCGTACAAGATCAGATTCAGGTATGGGCCCATGCTCATCTATGAAGGTGATCATTCGATTGAGCTTTTTGAAGGCTCGGCTATACTCTCTAACGGTCATGGACTGCGTTTTACGAAGGTCCATCAGCTCGTCAATAATCACTCCGAGTTCCGGGTGGGCAATGAGTCAGAGTCAGTCTTCGTAGGGCATAGATGGCTACATCGGTGTGCTCAAGTTGCTCCTCAGCAACAACGTCGTTGAACAACAGGAGGTCGTCGTCGAAGAGGAGCACTTGGATGTCCTCGACGAACGCAAATTGGTCCTCCTCTGTCGACTGATACCCCATGAAGACGTAGTATTCCGATAGCCTCAGTAGCCACTCCAGCCAGTCCTTCCAGGTACCATCGCGGAAGACTGGCACACGCTTCTTTATCGTCGCGCCGTTGCTTTTCACCTTCTCGAAGATTACTTCTTCCTCCATCGTGGTGATGCTTGCGGGCGGGGCGCTGCTGGGTCGTCGGAAGCAAACTAGGTTATAGTTTTGCTATAGCAAAATGTCACCAGTTGCTTGGTGATGTTTGTAGTTGTAGGTGAAAGTAGAACTGAGTGTATTAAATGCAGTTAAGAGCAGCAGACAGCTCTGCTGCTCTTGGTTCTAGACTGTTGGTTGTCGTTCACTAGTGCCTACCAGCCAGCCATGCCTCTTGGATAGTCCCTTGGTCTGCTGTGTCACAAGTCACAGATGCGCGCGTTACAGATGCGCGCGTCACAGATTCTGGGTCTGCTGACAGTCTTCCCCACGCTGGGCCTTGAAAGGTGTGATGCGTCTGATGTGAACGGTCTCCATGTATCTACCCTTGTCAAGAACCAGCGTCCCATTTGTACGCACGGCAATGACTGTGTGGGGCCCACTAAATAGTGGAGCTATCTTGGCCTGAGGTCCAGCATCGTTCCGTAGTAGTACCTTGTCACCGGGCGCGTAGATCCAATTGCGTCGTTTGGCGTTCTCACGAGCGGTGTTCTTGGCCACTTGCTGCACTTTGCGTTGGTACTGTTCATCCCAGTTGGTGACGTGTTCCACGTCGAAGAGCATGTCGCGTCCAAAGGTTGTCTGGGCCTGCGATGAGTTGAGCATGCTGTTGTAGGTAGCACGGAGAGCAAACGTAGCATCGTGCAAGAATGCAGCCCATTCTTCCATCGTGTTGATCGTTTGAGTCCGGAGCTTGTCTCCAATTACCCTATGAAGACGCTCGATAACTCCATTGGCCTGCGGATTGCGCGTCGTCGTCGGTACGGCGTGGATTCCGTATCTGTCCAGTAGTTCAAAGAATTCCATCATAAATTCAGTCCCTTGGTCGTAGATAACCCGTAGAGGTCGAGGGTAGTGGCACAACCAAAAGCGATCAAAAACGAATGCGGTGTCTGCACTAGATGCGTCGTCTACTGGTTGGATCTCCACAAGGCGCGTACTAGTATCAATCATCGTCAAGGCTCGGAATTTGTTTCTTCCATATGGCCCGATAGAGTCGATTGCAACTTCAAACCATGGGCGGACGACAACTGTCTTTTCCGGCAACTTGCCGTACTCCACGGTTGGGTGCTTGCGTTTTGTGCAGGGAAGGCAATTCTTCACGTAATTCTGACCCATTCCTTTCCAGTATAGCGCTGCACGTATCGTTTGATACATTGCTGCGTTTCCAGGATGCATAAGCCACTCGTGATACGCTCGTATAGTCGGCTCCTGCAGGTGAGACGGTACTAAGATGCAGCTATTCGTCGGGTGTACACGGAGCTTGACTCCATTAATCTCTTTGAGTTTCCCGATCTCCACAGGTGCGGCTGCCTGAGCACGGGCAAGTTCTCGCAGGTTCAACGAGAAAAGCATGCTAGTAACGTCCGTTGCTTCTGCTGCAGCAATAGTTCTAGTTGTATCTCCATTCGCCTCCTTCCCCAGGTTGGGCGGAACGCCAGGTAAGCGTGAAAGCGCGTCCGCAACAACATTGTTTTCTCCTTTGATGTAGTGGAGTCGAGGGCCAAACCCCTCTATCTCCAAGCGCCAACGCATCATCTGAATGTTGTTGAAAGTACCGTAGGTCAGGTTCAGATGGTCAGTATGGATATGAAGTTCTTGGCCCAAAAGCATCGTACGATACTCACGGAGAACAAGCAGAATGCTGAGTAACTCGAGCCGGTTGGCAGGATACTTTCTCTGCGAGTCGTTGCATTTCTTACTCCAAAAGGCAAGCGGTTTTCCTGCCTGTGTGATCACTGCGCCAAGTTGATACCCAGAAGCGTCCGTGAAGATGTGAAAAGGTCGCCCGTAAGACGGAAACGCTAACTCCACTGTGTGTGTCATCACGTCTTTCATCGCCTCGAATGCACGCTGGTGCTGCTCGTTCCACTGGAATTTTGCTTGCGGAGACGTCAACGCAGTCAATGGAGCGAGGATGTGGGCCCTACGCGGCCACATATCTCTGTAGTAGGTAACCATTCCAATGAAGCGACGTAGCTGCCGGCGTGTACTCGGTGTTGCAATCGCCTGGATGGCCGAGATTTTATCGTGCAGAGGTTGCAATCCGCTGGTGCTGACCTTGTACCCGAGGTACGCGACGCTGTCGGTGCACAGCTTCGTCTTCTTAGGGTGGATAGTAAGACCACGATCACGTAGCCGGCGAAAGACTTCTCGAAGATGCTCCATGTGCTCGTTGAAAGTCGAAGACATCACAATGAAATCATCCAAGTAAACCCAAACATAGTCGAGATCTCCAAGCATCTCGTTCATCACAGCTTGAAATTCATCAGGAGCAGTTGCCACTCCCATTGGTAGCCGGTTGAAAACAAACTTGACAAACGGAAACAGAATAGCAGTCGCTGCACGGCTGCGCTGGGCGAGAACTCGAGCATAGTACCCCATCGGTACGTCAAATGCGGAGATGTACTTACAACTCTGGAACTGACGAAGTATTTCGGCAATCACTGGCAACGGAAAGAACCTGCGCAGTAGGAGTGCGTTGAGGCGCCGGAAGTCACATAGAAGTCGAATGCTGCCATCCTTTTTCAGGATAATAAACGCTGGTGATGCCCACGGCGACGTATTATCCGGGGACAACTCACCTAGCTGCACGAGTCGATGTATCTCCTTCTTCGTCGCTGCTAACTGGACATGCGGGACTGGGTAAGACCTGCATGCGAATGGCTTCGCGTCCTTCGATAACGGTAGTTCGTACGGTTCGCCCGTAATCTTCCCCAGTTTGCCAGAAGCAACTTCATAGAACTCGAGCAGTAGTGACACCAAGCTGTGAATCTCGCTGTCGGACAGCCGAGTCTTGTCGATCATCCCATCCAGTTGAGCATCACCACTGTTAGCTGCTACTGCGATCTCCACGGGGCACGAAGGTTCCTCCTTCTTCTGGTACGGGACTGTGGTGAAGCGCCAGTTGGCTTTTGCGAATAAGAAAACTGATTGATGGGAAGTGGCCCGATCCAGCCCTGAGA